AGATATTCACCAACAGCATCGAAACAAAATCTTAACTGCTCCTGAAATTAGAAAGATTAATATATAGATCAGTCGAATACACCCATTACTAACAACCACCATGGGAGTCACGGCAGCTAAGTGGGTAAGGCGCTGGCTCAAAGGCCTGGAGGTCAGGTGTTCGATTACCGCATTGTCCGTGAAAGTTCATCCAGATTTTCCGACGTGGTTTCGCCTTGTCAGTGGTGCAGGACGGAGGGCCTGGCAAGGAGAGCTGTCTAGTCGTTCGGATGGGACGAAAACGAGGTCCCGTGTATACATTGGTATGCAAAATTTTCCTCATAGCACACTGTATGGCGTATGCTCGTCTTCATTAGTCCAGTCGACGTTCAACCCCATTTCATTTCATTTTCACCAACCTCCATTGTAATTTACTACCCATTGAGTGCTTTTTAGATTAATGGTACAGATTAATGACAATCTGCTTAAAATGCAGATCTATATTTCGTTTCGTTGTTTGTACTTTCGATGGCCTACACTACATGAAAATCTGACCAGTTGTAGTGTAATGTTGCGTTAGGGGTCGTACGAGCGACCATTGGCCCTATGACGTCAGACATTGATTAATCTATCAGTCTTGACGTTTCTAGTGGTTTACCCACAGTTCCGTGCACGGTATACGTCAAGAAGTCGCCGCCGTGACAGATGGTTTTATTGGCTAATCCCTTACGCCATCCAGAACGTCTGTTATATAATAACTCTTCCAGATCCTAGTATAATAAAGCAAATAAAACGTAATTTTGAACTATAAAGATAGGTTGCCAGGCAACACGAAACATACGCCCCCACCAGCTAAATCGTCCGGGCAGTCAACAAGAGTTGTTGCATATTTTTACTTTTTTCGGTAATGAAACATTTATAATACACTAAAATCTGATTAAGAGCAGCAACTCATGAAGTAATTATCAAAAAACCATTACTAAGTATTTGTTTTTTTTTATAAAGTTCTGCCCCATGCTAACGTTTTGTATACAAAACTTTTAATATCATGGATTTAGCTGTTCAAGACATAAAAATTCATTGAAAATCAATATACTTGTTCGTCTCAAGGTCTTATGTCTGAAGTCAATCGGATGATAACTTTAGCCTTTAGAGCGTCACAAAGTGATCAAGGGCCAGAACTTTGGCAGTAATTATCAGAAATCATTGAAAATCCATAGGATTCTTTTTCTCATGACCTTAAACACTGTGTATAAATTTAAAGTCAATCGGATATTAACTTTGGCCTTTAGAGCGTCCAAAAGATTTTTTGTAGTGATCAAGGGAAATAACTCTGGCAGTAATTATCGGAAATTGTTGAAAATCAATAGGATTCTTCGTCTCATGACCTTAAACACTGTGCATAAATTTAAAGTCAATCGGATATTAACTTTGGCCTTTAGAGCGTCCACAAGATTTTTTGAAGTGATCAAGGGAAATAACTCTGCCAGTAATTATCGGAAATCGTTGAAAATCAATAGGATTTTTTGTCTCATGAACTTAAACACTGTGTAGCCATAACTCTGGCAGTAATTATCGGAAATTGCTGAAAATCAATAGTCTTCTTCGTCTCAAGACCTTAAACACTGTGTATAAATTTAAAGTCAATTGGATATTACCCTTGGCCTTTAGAGCGTCCACAAGATTTTTTGAAGTGATCAAGGGAAATAACTCTGGCAGTAATTATCGGAAATCGTTGAAAATCTATGTGATTTTTTGTCTCATGACCTTAAACACTGTGCATAAATTTAAAGTCAATCGGATATTAACTTTGGCCTTTAGAGCGTCCACAAGATTTTTTGAAGTGATCAAGGGAAATAACTCTGCCAGTAATTATCGGAAATCGTTGAAAATCAATAGGATTTTTTGTCTCATGAACTTAAACACTGTGTAGCCATAACTCTGGCAGTAATTATCGGAAATTGTTGAAAATCAATAGTCTTCTTCGTCTCAAGACCTTAAACACTGTGTATAAATTTAAAGTCAATTGGATATTACCCTTGGCCTTTAGAGCGTCCACAAGATTTTTTGAAGTGATCAAGGGAAATAACTCTGGCAGTAATTATCGGAAATCGTTGAAAATCTATGGGATTTTTTGTCTCGAGAACATAAACACTGTGTATAAATTTTAGGTCAATCGGATATTAAATTTGGCCTCTAGAGCGTCCACAAGATTTTTCAAAGTGACATAACTCTGGCAATAATTATCGGAAATTGCTGAAAATCAATCGTCATCTTCGTCCCAAGATCTAAAACACTGTGTATAAATTTAAAGTCAATCAGATATTAACTTTGGCCTCTAGAGCGTCCACAAGCAATTGTGGACGCCGGACCGACGGACCGACGGACAGACGGACGGACGGACGTGGGCGACGACAATATACGACCACATTTCAATGTGGGCGTATACAAAACGAAATGCAATAGAATCTCTGTTTTAATCAGATTGAGATTAATGTCGAAACTTTATTTATATAAGTGGTCTGTTGAATTAATTAATAATGGCAAGTATATTATGGGTTTTACTGACTTATATTATACTCACAAAAGACGTGATAATCTGAGGTCTAGAAACTCTTAGTTGAACTAAAGTCTGTAAAATACTGACATCTTGTTCTATAGTTAATCTTTCTAATATAGCTGCTAGAACACAGAATACACCCGATTTCTCTACACCATTCCTAGAATAATTATTAAAAATCTGAAAATAAGTCTAATTTTGCCAGATATTATCCTAAATATTCTAAAGAACAGTGTTTTAGACAAGTTGTCCACACAAATTTAAAACTATGGGTTTCGAAGAGAAAAAAATGTCCGAGTACAAGAAACAGATGGTTATGAATTATGTTTACTTTCTATTTTAAAAAAAGGAGGGTGGGGTGTGAATGGGTAGCGCGTGGACGCTGTATTCCAAGGTATATATCATTGAGTCAACTGGCGTGGTTGCGATTCCCGGTTGTACGTGACAAGGAGTAGGGTCGCATTTTCCACCTAATTGGTTGTCTCCGGGTCCTCCGGTTTTCACCCACCACCTGCTATAGATCCCTATGCGCAAGCGAATTATTGAAAGCAAATTGAACAATGTGTTAGTCGTGAAATGACCTAGTTTGTGTCGAGTGGACGTTAAACCCTTTTCTCTCTCTCTCCCCTCTCTCTTTCTCCCCTCTCTCTCCCTCTCTCTCTCTCTCTCTCTCTCTCTCTTTTAAAAAAATCAAATCAACTTACAGACAGTGAACAACTATGGGTCCATCTTCATCTTGGTCAGACCATGACTTTGTATCTTCTAAGATAGTAAATATTGGACCAGCAGATTTTGGCACCCCTTTCTTTGGATTCCAGAAATTACACTGATATATTCTGATACTTCTGTGTAAGCTTTCCTATTTCAAAAATAAATTTTATGTAGCAGATAAACATTCAAATATGGACGTAATTTTAGATTTGCATTTTGTTTTTCGATTGTTTTTCTCCCTGATATCGCATTTTCAACAAAAAGACAATATAGTTATGAGAAGTTTTGATCTTGTTAGCATATCGGTACATTAATTGGCTATTTTCTTTCATTTTGTTTGTTTGTGTTTTTTTCGTCCGGATATCTGATTTTTTAACGACACGAAAATTGCTACCGGGAGTTTTGATCATGCTGGTATACTCTATTTGGTTTTAACTTGAATTCCAGAAGCCGAAGCACAACGAAAATGACGAAGATTCTAAGTTTTCATAGTTCCATTATTCGAAGGTTTCGAAATTAAACGCTACTTCCTTTCCCAGTTCTCCTTTATCAGCAATACTTGAGAAGTGTGAAGCATTAAATTTATGTCTTCAGACATTGAATAAACAATACTTACATCAAGTTCACTGTTAATTAAACAGGTAACAACTGTATAAATACCATTCTCATGTTTTGTTTCATCTGTTTTGCTGATATTAAATGGTCCACAGTTCAGATCATCATCAGTTGGTACATATTGTCCAATATCCTTTGTAAAATTCAAATATTTGAATCAATATTGTTCATTAAAGTAAATACATGATCACAATACAACTAATACAGATTTATAAGACTTAAGGATCAACCCACTTTCACATGGAGTATAATAGTGCAGATTGGGCACAACCTAGCTATAGCAATCAGACTTAACTAGTGATTCTCAACCAGTATGCACATTAAAAAAATGCGAAAAACCAATTGAGTATTCACTGGTGTCTACTGATAAATTCATAGCTGTGTTTTTCTTTATTTTATTTGAGTCATTCTATGTGTCTATGACTAGTCTCTGTCTACGGATGTATACCCTCTAACTTAACATGTTTTTATTTTGCAAAATTCAAATATTTTTCATATATATTTAGCCAGGTGTGCCGCTACTTGTTCATGTTTCCAAGGTGTGCCGTTGGCAAAAAACGGTTGAGAACCATTGGACTATACAACGGAAAACTGTCTGCTATTGGTGCATAATTTTAAATCTCTTGCCTAGAATTAAAATAACACATCTCTAACATAACCGTTTCAACTAAACTAAACAGCAGCAAACTGAAATAACAGCTCAACACCGCCAAAAAATCTTCTAAAAAGAATGTAAAAGCCAAAATTGTGTCTGCTATCATGTATATACACACAGAAATTCTAGAATGCATAAACATAGTTTGAAATCATAAGCAAATATAAATTGAATTTAACCTGTGCTGTTTCTGTGATATCCATATTAATTATTGTGGTAACATCTTGTTCAACAACCATCGTCCAGAAATCTATCACTGTATTTGGTAAGGGTGTCTGGGTCAATATGTAGGCACGTTTCTTTCTGTAGCTCTGTAAAACCAAAATCTTATAAAAAACGCAACTATTCAGCAGCTTACGGAAATATGTCTAAATGATAGCTTACTGGGTAAACATTTACCTTAAAACGAATTCGTACTGCATAATACTGAATGTTATAACATTCAAATGTAATATACCGAATTTTATAAGATACTGAAAGTTAAACTACTAAATTGTAGATCTGTAAAAACAAATCTATCACTGTATTTGGTAAGGGTGTCTGGGTCAATATGTAGGCACGTTTCTTTCTGTAGCTCTGTAAAACAAAAATCTTATAAAAAACGCAAATATTCAGCAGCTTACGGAAATATGTCTAAATGATAGCTTACTGGGTAAAACATTTACCTTAAAACGAATTCGTACTGCATAATACTGAATTTTATAACATTCAAATGTAATATGCCGAATTTTATAACATACTGAAAGTTAAACTACTAAATTGTAGATCTGTAAAAACAATGACATCGATTCTTAAACAAGATGTATTTGGTTTAGCGGTAGTCATTCATTGCAGCACAATATACATGGGAAAACAAAATATCGTAAATAATTAACAGTTTCATCTGATGGAAACAGATCTCCTAAGTTTTTATGGTTTGCACCGTAATAGACCATAGCTCAAAGCATTTAAACAGATTTCCAAAGTTTTTATGGTATGTACCGTAATAGACCATAGCTCGAAGTATTTAAACAGATTTTCCAAGTTTTTATGGAATGCACCGTAATACACCATAGCTAGAAGTATTTTTACTGCTTACCGATAAAAACAGAGCATTAATATAATCTGTCATCTGTGGCTTAGATAAACACAGCCTCGTTTTATCAGCTGAAATATATAATTTTTAATATTTATATAATTTCATCATTTATTAGCTTCATATATTATCTACCCAATCCCTACCCAGAGAGAACAGATATTTTAACAGGTATACTTTAACATAATAACAGATGTTATGAATACGTCATCGTGCCATCTTGACACATGAAAGTGGAATTGAATAAAATATCTTTATCTCGGCTATTGACACTCATGGTTGTCCAGATGACATTCATTAGTCATTACCATAATATAAACTTGTAGCTGGCCTGTGTTATGTAATGTCATTTGTCTTGTAAAACAGTCCTTACTGAACGTCAAATCTGGTATATGATGCAATATAGCAAGCTGCACAATCTCTTCCGTCATCCTTTGTATAGAAAAGGATTATAAGCAGAAGTCTAATTGATAGAAAGTTAGTTAAGACCGGAGAGAGGACATGTAAGTTAATTGGGAGTTGGCACCCGACCACAATCCTATACGCCAAACTGGAGGAGAGTCCCTTGAAAATATATAGCCTCTTTTGCGCTAACAAGACTTTTTCAGTGGTGGAGGGGGGGGGGGGGTTGGGACTGAATATCAGAGAACGTTAAATATTTCATAAAACCCAATGTTTCCCGGCAAATGTGTATAGAATCATCTGTCACATTGCATATGATAACCTCTGCCAATTGGTGACTGTTCACAAACCAATTCTTGACGGGCGGACGGATGGGTTTGGTGAAACAATACACCAAGCTGACATGTGGGTCAATCAAAAGTTACATAAAACTAACATGCTAAAATGGATAGATCTCTATTCTTCTCTTTGTTTTCTTCTGATAAAGCTACCAAACAATCAGCTGTACTTTGTGACGGACATATACTATCAAGCATCTGTATAAGAAAACAAATAACAAATCACGAATAATCAAAACAAAATATGGTTGCATATTAAGGTGTTTAAATTTTTATTTTGCTTGAAATTAGCCTAAATAGACTAACATTATCGTTTATAAATATTACCTCAAATCTTTCTTGAAGCTGTGATTTACCAGATGAACTATTGACCTTCAGTAACGTCTGATAGTCCTTTTGATAAGACGTGACAGGAAATGTAATATCTCCAGCTATATACCATTCGGCTAAAGCATCATGTAGAAATACATATTGTTCCTGAAATAGTTCAATCCATTACATTTAAACATACATTATGCAAGAGTTAAATCTGCCTAATGCAGGTCTTTCTTTAGGCCTGAAATGTTATCTCAATTATTAATTAGACATTAATTAACTTATCCAGACTATAATCAACTCTAGAAGGCATCGCTAGCCAGGGGGGTTGGATGGCCGAATGGTTAGCACGCGCGCGCTGTATCACAAGGCCTGTCATTGAGTCAACTGGCGTGGTTTCGAATCCCCGGTGGTACGTGACAAGGAGTAGGGTTGCCTGTCCAATCTCGTGGGTTTTCTCCGGGTCCTCCGGCTTCCTCCCACTGCTAAAGACCCCTACGCGCAAGAGAATTATTGAAATAAAATTAAAACCATATGTTAGTCCCGAAATGACCTAGTCTGTGTCGAGTAGACGTTAAACCCCATTTCTCTCTCTCTCTCTCTCTCGCATCACTAGCCTGCTAGCCTGCGATCTTTAGTTGATTATGAGCCGATTTACTGCATAACTTTCCTTCACGATTTAACGATTAATTGGATAATCGAGACTAATGATGATCGAGGCTAGGTGAAAATTTCAATCGCTTAGTTCTGGGTTCATAGTGGATCAATTTGAATGAAATTGTCAGCAAATTGCCTTTAGATTATCTAGTTTTTAACAATTATGGTGAGAACTGCCAACTCGTTATCGATTCTCCCATAATGTATCTTTAAGACATAGTTCACAAATATCTATTGGTCACAAGTAAAATTATTGTGGATCGACCAATTATAATAATAAACATACATACCGAAGTCTGAACCATGTTAACTCGTTCATATCGCAGCTGTTTAACACACTCATAAATATCTACAGCACCTTCTGCTCTAGCTTTATCTATTGAATAATCTAAAGCTATGAAAGTCCCCGTTCTTCCAATACCAGCACTGAAACGCAAGATACAGGACAATTTAAGTGTAAGTAAACGTAATCTGAATATAGTCTGGGACAATGTATTTTTTACACTATAAGGGTGTTGGGTGGCCGGATGGTTATCGCGGGCTATTTGTATCATATGGTCTGTCATTGAGTCACCGGGCGTAGTTTCAATTCCTCGGTTGTACGTGACAAGGAGAAGGGTCACCTGCCCAACCTCGTGGGTTTTCTCCGCATCCACCGGTTTCCTCCCACTACTAAAGATCCCTACACACAAGCGAAGTATTTAATTGTTAGTATCGAAATGACCTACTTTGTGTGGAAGTACCTCCTCTCTCTCTCTCTCTCTCTCTCTCTCTCCACAATAGCACAATAGCTACGTCAAACGTATATTTATATACCTGCAGTGTACCACCATTGGTCCTGGTTGTGGAGAGGTGGCTTTTATTACCTTGTTTCTGAATTCTACCAGTGACGCAGTATCAATAGGTACACCTTTATCAGGCCATGATGTATAATGATACTGCTTGATGGTCCTGGATCCACATTCGTCCTGGAACATAAAAATCGACATTTTATTACTGCTGTATTTGGCACAGAAATTATTATTTATTTAAAATAAAACTTAACATTTCTAAAATGATCAATCTTATTAAGCAAATAAAATATCCAGCTTAAAACTTACTTTATCTCACAGAAAGTATTATTTTTTTAAAACAAAACTTAATGATTAATTTTATCAAGCAAATAAGGTATCCAGCTTAAAACTTACTTTTGTGATTTTGAAAGTCCTGACAGTAAAGTGAGAAAATATATCCTCATTTATCAATGTCATGGAGATTTGACCAAACTTCATTTGCTTGCCACTGTTTGGCCAATACTTGAAACATTTTTTCTGAAATAAATATTATAACATAAGACTCTTAACAAATAAACTATAAGATATAATTAAATATTTTCAAACAAATGTACATCAAGATATCAAATACAAATATCAATAATTTCATGACAAAGGATAAACTTTTAATCAAAAAATACTAATAAAAATGATTGCGAGCTTTGTGCATCACCAAATACTTTAAAGCTGCAATTTCATATTTTTAAAATTTATTAAAATAAAGCCTTAAAATAGATGGTCTCTATAAACAGTCCTTCCTTGTTAACGAATAATCCTATTAATCCTATAATTCACTATTGCCAGTTGAGAAATTGGCAAAAATATCATTTTCAACTTTAAATTCAAACATCTGAAGATAGCTTTTCCACGGGGGGGAAATAGAAAGACAAGGGAGGTAATTGTGTTATTATTTTCGGGGTCAAAGGATTTTTAAGAGGGAGAATAATACCTATAATCGTATAATAGTGAGTTGAAAACCTATTGAGCAAAAGACATAGAAATAATTATGTTTTGACTTTTTTAGAAAATATGAAATTATCGCTTTAAAAGGTGTGTCTGGTGTTTCAGCACAATGATCAGTCTATTTCCGTTTAAACGATGCGTCGACAGATTAAATACAAAGATCAACATACGTTTCCCATCTCTACCAAGTTAGTTAACATTACTATCTTTCCTGTCTCCGAAACCCATAGTAACCGTAAGAAGTCCTTAACAATAACATCAACGGGGCCTGTCAAATTAAATTACACTATTAGAAAGTTCTGGTATAAATAAGTGATATGCAACGAAAAGAAATGAAATGGGGTTTAATGTTCTGCGTCTATACTGGGCTAATGAAGATGGGCATACGGCATACAGTGTGCTTTTCCCGGGCAGCGGCACTTTCGAATTCCAACTGTCACGGGATCTTTTACGTGCATGCCAATGTATACACGGGGCCTCGGGGTTTTCGTCCCATCCGAATGACTAGACAGCTGTCCTTGTCAGGCCCTCCGTCGTGCACCACTGAGAAGTGGGAACCACGACGGAAAATCCGGATGAACTTTATTGGCCAAAGCAGGGGTCAAACACACAACCTCCAGAGCGAACTTCGGTTGCAGGGATTCCCGAACCCTAGTCGGAACTATCTTCATGCGAATGACATTTAGTTCAAAATCTGGCCGTGACCAGCCGTACCATGCGATAGAGCACGGTCGGGATAGTTAGAATAGCTGAAAAGGCTGATGCGTGTGCAGATTTGTCTGAAAAATATAAAATTGCAAGATGATAGGATAAACTATTAATGTTCCGACGAACTAAAAAGAAAATGTTTGATAAATATTTCATTGTACACTTTTCCAAACGCCCACAGAACTTGCCATGTTTAAGTCTCGACCACAGTTTACATCCGTAGGTCGCCCAGGCGAGCCAGCGTCTTACCCACTTGCCCGCGGTATGAATAAGACTAAATAAGTGAAATAACAGTATATTTGGAAACTTGTAGTAATAAAAGATCCTGGAATTCGTCGCTACTTTTATTTTTCTTTTGTAATGTGATCTCAGTTAAAAACACCTTAATTAGTTTAATTAAAATAATCACGAAAAAACTTACCCTGTGAAGCGATATATTTGTTTGCTATGTCGCCATATCCCTAGATAAAAAAAACGATATATGATAAATATCGGGCCACTTAAGGAACAAGAACCCCGCCCACCATCAACTGATCTTATTAGCAGAATTCCGCTGCACAATTGTTGATAGAAAAATGAAATTTCCTATATTCTGCTGTGACTCGGCTAATGAAGACAGGCATACGGCACACAATTAGCTATGAGGGACATTTTGCGGCACTAAGAACTCCTCTTATATCCAATTTCAACTGCCAAGGCGTTTTTTACGTGCACACCAATGTATGCACGGGACCTCGCTTTTTTTTCGTTCAATCCGAAAAACTTGACAGCCGCTCCTGCACCACTGACAAGGGGAGAATCACAATATTGATAAAAGTTATTTAATAGCTGGTAAAATCGTGTTCTTGATGAATATTTGAGGAGGTAAACCTAAAGCATGTTCTATAAAACTGTTCAGTAAATAAATAATAACTTACAGTTATATAGCAAGCATTGATGTAATCAGAATTAGGGTCATCGTTTTCTACGTCCAGTTTAACTCGTGAATGATCAACTATAACAAACCATATCAACATATAACGTAACATTTGTATGGAAATAAAATACAGTTAGGAGATGTACACTTTCTTTCTGTTTTCGAATTTAAAGTGGTGTCATTATGAACTCATTACATGCATTAGAACCAATGACCAGTTTCACGAGGTGAACATATCGCTACGAATGGCGACGACCGTGGTTTCATTTCGCTTTTCAGGAACGACCAGTTACACTGCCTTTGAATAATTAAAGATACATTATGGAAGATTAGGTAAAGAGTTAGCAGTTCTAACTATAATAGTTAAAGACTAGATAATGTAAAGGGAATATGCAGAAAATTTCAGTCAAATTGAACCTTATTTTAAAATCGCTTTAGCCTCAATTGTCATTGTTACTGCTGTCACGATAATTAACAATGTCTCGATCATCCATTTTTGCGGTTAATCATCAATGGGCGTTCAACAGCAGATCGGATTCAAATCCAATGAAAATCGGACACATAAGATGGCATCGAGAGTTGATTATGGCGTTTCCATGTTAATAAATGTCTAATTAATAGTTTAGATAACATTTCAGACCTAAAGGAAGACCTACAAAATGGCGGATTGCCCTCTTGTATAATGCATGTTTAAGTCAAACTTAGTTGCAACGAATCTTTGCTGAAAATTACTTACAAGCACATATGTTCTTGTATCTGTTCTTCGGCTTATTAACAACATTCATACAATAATCATATGCTGCACATAGTCCACTTGGAAGGGTCTGTAAAACGAAAGAATACTATTTTTATCCACCCGATTAGATTTTATTACATACTTCGAGAAGGTATTTGTTGAGTAATAAAACCTTCTAGTAGTTTATCGAGGGTTGGCCGTCATACCAAAATGGCCGCTTTATACAACTGAGTATTTAGGGGAATACTAACCCGAACCCTAACCCTAACCCTTTTAAGAGAAGTAAAAACTAAATTAGACCCAAGTTCAGTCTTTTAAAAAGGGTTAGGGTTAAGGTTCGGGTTAGTTATCTCCAAAATTCTCATTTATATAAAGCGGCCATTTTGGACTCCGGAAACACCCGAACCTCGATAAACTACTAGAAGGTTTTATTACTCAACAAATACCTTCTCGAAGTATGTAATAAAATCTAATCGGGTGTTTTATCTGATCTATTATCAATTTGTAATAATTATAGAAGTTACTTTTTTATACGGAGGCGGGATTGGATGGCAGAATGGCGCGCTGCCAGTGAGTCAAGTGGCGTGCTTTTGATACCTCGCTTGTACGTGACAAGGAGTGGGCTCGCCTGTCCAATCTCGTGGGTTTTCTCCGGTTACCTCCCACTGCTAAAGACCCCTACGCGCAAGCGAATTATTGAAATAAAATTAAACCACTTGCGATATGACCTAGTTTCTGTCGATTGAATGTTAAATCCTCTCTCTCTCTCTCTCTCTCTCTCTCTCTCTCTCTCTCTCTCTCTCTCTACATACGGAAAACAGAGAATACTAAAATACGTAAAATAACACGCACCTCAAATTCAGCTTTCAGCGATTCTTCCTCAGCCTTTCGTTGTTTGATATATTGAAGCAGATTTTGTAGCTGAATACGTGTAGAAGCAGCAGTGGGTTCATCATCATTGACATAAACTTGTGCTGCCTCATTGTCCTCTTCTGCTAGCAGATTGGCATATGTATTAACTTCGATTTTAGGTTTTTGGCCTACTGTTGATATAAATATTTGTATAAAATGAAATGAAATGAAATAGACTTTAACGTCCTACTGTACTGTTCTGCTCCGAACTGGGTTTATGAAGATAGGCATATGCCATACAGTGTGCTCAATGGGAAATTTTGCCCGGACACCGGCACTACTCTTATATCGAATTCCAACTGTCAAGGGATCTCTTACGTGCACGCCAATGTGTACACGGGACCTCGTTTTTTCGTCCCATCCGAACGACGCCGGAAAATATGGATGAACTAGGCCAATGCAGGGATCGAACACCCGACCTCCAGTCTGGCCAGCTAGCGTCTTACCTACTTAGCCACCATGACCCCCCCCCCTTGTTTGTATAAACAATTCGAGAAAAATTGTTCACTTTAGCGCCCCAGCAGACAATGAGTTATTGTTTACATTAATTATAAGTAAACGTAAATATATCAGAGTATTATCTTTAATTATAATTAGTTTTATTATGGCAAATAAACTTTGGAGCCTTAATATTGGTTCACTTATCTTAGTATATTAATCTTTCCCGAAATCTTTTCAGTGCTTTCTGTGTGTTGAAGCCTCAAGCGAATTCACATTACGGACAACCATAATTACTGTTATAGTTATAAACAAGATAACCAACCTTTAGAGACTGTTCTCTTAGAAAACGAATCGCTTTTGGTTAGACTTGAATCTATAGGCAAATGGTTGACTTCAAGTTGGTTAGATTCCACATATTTCTGTCGTCTGAAAATACATTAGCAAATATTAATGCCTTCGATAATTCTCTTTAGTAAAACATGTAGCTTAGGAAACAGAAAACAATGTACGTGTGTTCGATTAAATGTTAGTATATAAAATCTATAAAATGAAATGAAATGAAATGTGGTTTAACGTCCTACTGTTCTGCTCCAACTGAGCTCACGAAGACTGGCATACGCCAAACAATGTGCTATGAGAGAAATTCTGCACGGGAAGCGGCACTATGGCCTACTCTTATATCGAATTTCAACTGCAAAGGGATCTTTTACGTGCACGCCAATGTATACACGGGAACTCGGTTTTTCGTCACATCCGAATGACTAGACAATTGTCCTGGTCAGGCTCTCCGTCCTGCACTACTGACGAGGGGAAACCACGTCGGAAAATCCCGATGAACTTTCTTGGCCTAAAATAAATAAGAGCAATAACATATTTGTTGGGGTGCTAATTGATATGTAGAACCTACCTTCTGTGTCTTACAACCAAAATAATAACAACACCAATAATCGCGATAACAACCAACGCAGCAACAACAGATACTATTATAGTAGCTTGTACTGCAATTAGAGAATAAAGAGGACATATATCCTGTTAGGGAAAGAAACCTACTCCCACTAGCATTCATCCCTATTACTATTTAATATTTACAAATTGCTGCTGTACATGCAGTAGAGACCTTAGCTAAATCCTGTAGGGGCAATCAGTGAGGAATAAGCACTAAAAACACATTCCTTAACTGCTGTAAACATTACTACCTGCTTCCTCTTTTGTATGGCAAGTTGGTCCTTGAAAGCCATCTGCACAGCCACCTTTACATTTACCATCCGATATATCACATGGTATATTCTGGGCACAGTTACCACATTCCTTTGTACAATTGTCACCATACATCCCCGGTTCACAATCTGTAAATACACGATCAACATTGTCGAATTATTGTAGAAATATTGCTATAAATGGTCCACGGTGTAACCAAGTGTTCAAAGTCATTTATACAAAAATACAGATTAATTCAGTTATTTAAAAAAAATCGTCCAATTAAAAATATTTAAAATCCTTATATTTGTCATGTCTATTCAAAATAAAAATAAAAGCCTGACCAACCATAATTATATGTTGTAATGCACATCGAAGAGACGGAATGTTTTAAAAATATGATATAAAATATTGTTTAGCAGGATTTGTATTTTGAATAACGACGGAAGAGTAAACAAATAACTGTAACTGAAGAATATTTGCCAATAAATTTCTGTATCGAGAAGAAATTTTCAGGTTCCTAGGACTAATCGACAAATATATTCATTGATATAAAATCGGGCGATGTAGTATATACATTAATTTACCTGTTGAACAATTAGATCCTATTTTACCAGGTACACATCCATTTATACAATCTGCTGTGATCCGATCACATAAACCATCTTTACAGTTAGGCCGACAATCTTTATTACAATCTATACCATAAAATCTTGTTTTACAACCTTCAGTACATGATCCACTTGTTATATTACATTTCCCAACAGTTTTACCAACTACTGGTTTACAGTTAGTATTACATAGTTTATTACATGATGATCCCCATCTTCCATCTTTACATTCAGTACAAGAGTTGGTATCATCCTGATTACAAACAGTACAATTATCATTACAGTCAGTGTTACACATGTCTCCAGTTTTACCTTTAATACAAGACGTACATTTACCATCAGTTCTACCACATCCACCATCACATCCTGTACTACAGTTTTTATCGCATATACCTCCATATTTTCCTACAATACAGTCAGTACATGTACCAGTATCCCTATCACATCCACCAGCACACCGTGTACTACAACTCACATTACATCCATTACCATATCTTCCCATAATACAGTTAGTACATCTACCATTTCTATCACATGTTGTGAGGTTTGTTGTTGGTTGACACCCTGTACCACAAGTAATGTTACAGTATGGACCAGCTGTATCAGGTTTACAGTCATTACATCTACCATCGAGGTTACCACACCCTCCGACACAATTATCAGGACATTGAGATTTACAGCTTGTACCATACCAGCCTTGATTACATTCTTTACATGATGGCCCGTCTTGTTGGCATTATCTACAGTTAGCAGGACATGATGATTGACAGTAGGAACCTGTAGAACCATCAACACAACCATCTGTACATCGTTGTTGTGAAGGTGAAGAAGGAATATAACATCTACTGTTTGTACATTTATTACTACAAGGTGATTCACATTTATCACCATAATATGTAACTTTACATACACATGTCCCGTCCGGTTTATTACACATTTTGCTTACACATCCATCACTACAGATTTTTTGACAGTTTGTATCATACCAGCCTTGATTACATTCATTACATGATGACCCGTCTTGTTGGCATGATCTGCAGTTAGCAGGACATGATGACTGACAGTAGGGACCTGTATTACCACCTACACAACCATCTGTACATCGTGGTTGTAAAGATGAAGAAGTGATAGAACATCTACTGTTATTACAGTAATTACTACATTCCGATTCACATTTACCACCATAATGTGTAGCTTTACATCCATCAGTACAAATACCAGTAGTGGCATCACATTTGTCATGAAGGCACGTATTACAAGGTTGACATGTAGAACTTGATGTACTGTAGTATCCAGTATTACATTGTGTACATTTAGCACCAGAATACGGATCTTTACATCCTTCATTACAAACACCAGTATCAGGATTACAATTATTATTATAACACGTATTACAAGGCTGGCACGTAGAACGTGATGTATTGTAGTATCCATCATTACATTGTGCTGTAAGTAAATGATATGTGTAATTATTATATGTATTAACAAAGTCGACATCTAATATTTAAAACACAATGAATATTTTATAATCAGTACACGCCTCGTGTATTCTATGGTTTCAGACGTCATTTGTTATGAACAAAGAAAACATATGCGGAAGTAATTAGTAGTGACTGATACACAAACAACAAAACAATACTAATAAAACGTGTAGAATGGACTATGGTGGCGCAAACGACTATCGTTTTATGTGGACTCGTCGCGTAGGTCACCAAATATCACCAAATATAATTGATTAGAAATTACAATAAAGGTTTTAAAACTCGAAAGCCAATTTTCGTCTATTTTAAGGTTCCAAAGAATAGAGACACACGCCATTAAAAGCAACAAAATTCGTACACTTTTATAAGTATGAAATTGGGTGTGAAGATACTATGAAATAAGTATGAAATTGGGTGTGGAGATACTATGAAATAAGTATGAAATTGGGTGTGAAGATACTATGAAATATGTTATAAGTATGAAATTGGGTGTGCAGAAAAGACACCCGTGTAGAATGGACGAAGAAAACACCAACGAATATCGTTAAATTAGGTCTGGCTTTTCGCGTAATTTTAAACTTTTTATGTGTTTAACAGGAGCCTTATTTAAATTTCATTGGCACGCTTTCTTGAATCGAGACATTTGACTTTGGTGCTAATATTACATTAATGTTAATCAGCATTAAAGTATAACACCAATAAAACAAGGCAATAACATAAACTTAATTTAATCTTAAAACTGGATTAAAAAGAGACGTCGACAGAAGATTAATGAGAAGATGGCGGCGTGAAATCAGCAGCAAGAATTATGAACTTTGGATGAGAATAATATTGTTTTTGTTATGTATATATTTTATTTACATAAGAATACTGTTTTTTTGTGTATAACCTGAAGGTTTTTATTTGCCTTTTATTCTGTAATGTTGGGTCCGTAGAAGGTAAAAATCTAGCATAGCACTGTGCTGATACTAACATTATAGTCTGTTAGCAGGACGTGATTTACAAATTCACGTGTTTACAAATCTATAAATGCTATTTAGTTATTAATCAGTCTCCGAGAAGTAAAATACACCAACCGTGAGCGTATGTCTTTCTGGTTTTGATGTCGAGATGCTGTCACAACTCACTTCATCAAAACTTGTGCGTATTAAAATCTGAGCATCGATGTTCCACATAATTCAGCTCTTTTACAGTCTTTTGTATGGTTAACCCATATAACGGCTTTTTATCAATACACGGTGTTATAAGATAGATAATGATGATGTTATATGTTGTATTTAGCCAGTAAATATTGTAGATGATGTTATATGTTGTATTGTATCAGTGATGTTATATATCATATCTTACCAGTAAATATTTGAACTTCACACAGCGTAACCACCTCATTATTAACACTGACAAAAACAGTTCTAGCTGATATAGATTGTTGTTGATTACAGCTTTCTATATTATATACAGACTGGGTTGTTGGTGGTGTATTTTTATAACATGACGTAGATGAATTAAATCCTGACTCATCACACTGACCATCAGAACTTATCTTTATCTCAAATCCACTCAATCTTTCTTCAACTATAAAATATAAAATATTCTCTATAACATCCTTTGTTCTTTTTCAAACCAAAACCATTGTTAAAGATGTTATATAGGATGTTGTATAACAATATACAATATTGCAATATCTTTTACATGTTAGACAACATAACGATTTGGGCGTCAATGGAACAAGAAATTTGGAAAAAAAAATTGGAATCATTTTTATGACAATGGAGGACTGGTTTAAATTATCGTTTCAGTAAGAGAGGGGATTTGGACACTTATCCTTCTTCGTGTTATTCCAGCATGAGTTTTAACATAATAATATGTAACTGGGAATGATAAAAACTAGGTAGATTAAAACAAAACTAAAAGTGTCACTAATCCTCATTTTAGAAAAACAATATTGTTTCATGGAACAAGATCTGGAACATGCCTTTTGTTAAAAGTAAATATTGTATAACAATCATGGTCTGTAGTGTCGTTCTTACTAAGTGATATTTGACATCAGATATGTAATCTTTTGACTTGACTTGATGTACATGTACACTTACACCCTCCTCTATTAAATAGTTTGATGCTGTCAATATTATAAAATTGTTGTAGATCAACACACCACCAGTCAATACCATTGTTATTGTTTGTATGTGTACAGTGATCATTCTTCCAGGCATTATCAGTATTACCATCTACAGCATTACTTGAAGATGATGATCCATAAACAAATGTTGAACTCTGCCCCGTTGGTTTGCCAATAGCAATATTTGTATTTGTAAAATACACCATATAATAAATAAATACAACATGTAAATACAACACACCACCAGTCACCACCAGTATTGTTTGTAAGTGTACAGTTACCATTCTCCCAGAGATCTACAGCATGATATGCTAAAGATCTAGTGTCCCCGCTAAATCCAACATAGGTTGAACTTCAACCAGTATTCTCTTTACAGTTTTATTAGTTCTTTTTAGCAAACCTCCGTCTTCAAGTCACATAGTGACTAAAACGCACAAGTCCTTGGGTATCTACTATCTTAACTGGCTTAGGCTATTCATTGTCCACAGTCAGCGCGGAAATACTCTTCACAGAGAGTGTGTCCTATCTAATTTGAGACTTTCATCGCTGGAATCACAGTTATATTATATAATGATAACCCGAGCCTCCTAGATGTGATTTAAAAACAATACTTATATTCTTATAAGTAAAATTAAAATACATGAATGGATGGGGGTTTAACGTTCTATTACACCAATTGGGCTAATGAAGAGGGGGGTAGGGATTTTGCTATGGGGGTAAATTTTTCCCAGATACCGACGTTTCCATGTACACGGCATTTTATTTTTTCGTTCCTTGTCAGGCTCTCCCGTCTTGTATCGTGCTAAACAGAACTGTAGTGGTGATTGATCCATTGCTTAATTTGGCTTCAAAAGTTATATCAACTATTATATAAACATGCATTCACATGCCAAGCCTATAATCAACTCTCTAGAGCATCGGATGGTGGGGATTTAAATGGATTAAAACCAGGTCGCCATTTAATGAAATATGACTTGAAAATGGCGACGCGAGCCTAAGTCTCGAATAACAAGTCTCGTTGTTATGATAATAAACAATATATGCCACATCTTGTCTAAAATTCAAACGGTGATAATGTCGCTCGAAATAAAGTGATTTTCTATTTTTGAACAATTATTATAGACTAAATCTTACATAGAGAATCTTTAAAGAAAGAGGGGGGTTGGATGGCCGAATGGTTAGCACGTGCGTGCTGTATCATAAGGCCTGCCATTGAGTCAACTGGCGTGGTTTCGAATTTATTGAAATAAAATTAAAACCATATGTTAGTCACGAAATGACCTAGTTTGTGTCGAGTGGACGTTAAACCCCATTTCTCTCTCTGTATTTTTAAGAAAAAAAATAATACCTGTACAAACACCACATGTTTTCATACAGTTATGTCTATTTACGTCATCTATAGGATATTTGGTGGTACCACATGATTGACAGCTGCTGTTGATATCTTTACAGATATCTAATGCTGTTAAACAAAAGTGTGAATAAATTATGTCATTGTTTAGGTATGGTTGACAGTATTGATATCTTTAGATATAACTCTAGATTTATTTTCAATCATTAACATGTACTTTGATAAGATTTGCATCACACTTATATAAATTCTGGTTTTTAACTTGGATTTTGATAAGATTTATATCAAACTATTATAAAGTCTATCTTAATGAATAAGTTCAATATGATGCTATATACCTAATATAGTGATGCTATACATATACTTACCTATATTGTGTTGCTATATATATATATACTTACCTTATATAGTGATGCTATATACATATACTTATCTAATATAGTGATGCTATATACTTACCTAATATAGTAATGCTATACATATACTTACCTAATATAGTGTGTAGTACCGTTGATAGAATTATAACTTTGGACAAATGAGGGAAAATCATATTGCATCTTCAACCTAAGAAAAATAATAAATACGTTGAAATTGTGACGTCATATCAAAATCGAAACTGCAATCAATGCGCAATTGATCAAGGAACAAGCATGCCAAGTTTCATGTCGATCGTTCTTGAATTGGCCGAGTTACAGGGAAGCGATGGGTGACAATTGGACTCAGTCTATGATTAGTGATGAATAGTAAGATAATCCATTTATGACGAGATTTTCTTATAA